TCACGTAGGTGTTTTTGATGTCATCCCACAGCTTCTCTGGTCTTCTGTCAATCATGTTCAGTGAATGAAATTTGTTCTTGAGATGTTCTCTAAATTCAGGTGCAGTTTCCTCAATGTCAGTTGGGTTCTAATGACCTTGTTATAATTTTCATCAGCTTCAAATCGCCATTACATTCAAACAATGGATGATCTGTTCCACAGTCAAATCCTGGCCTGGATTAACCTGCTGATATGGAACTTCTCTGTCATCTCTTCCCATAGATGTCGTCAATTCTATTTACATAAAGATGGCAAAAGGACACTAAAATTACAGGAAAGAAAGAAAAGATCAAAGAGAGTGTTAGAAGAAACTTTGAAACTTGCTGTTAATCATCAATTAGCTAAAGCAATTGAAAGCAATGATCAAGTTAAAAAGCTGAACAGAAAATTTCAAGGAAGAACCCAAGAAGGCAAAGTAAAATACAACAATGAAATGTGCAAAGACCTAGAGATAGAAAAGAAAAAGGCATAACATACTCAGCATATCTTAAACTGAAAGAACTAAAGGAAAAACTTCAAGCTTTGAGTTGCAATATTCAAAGATTAAGTGGGAAAGATATTGAACTGCCCATGAAACAGTCAAAGAAAATGGAAAGAATGCAGAGCAACCATACTAAAAACAATGAGTAACTATTCACCCTCTTCAGGAGGTAGCAGATCAGGATGAACCAATAGTGCTGAAGGAAGAAGTTCCAGCTGCTCTGAAAGTATTCACAGAAAAACAAGGCTCCAGGCATTGATAGCATACAATTGACATGTTTAAACAAGCTAAGGAAGCATAGGAAGTACTTGCTTGTCTGTGCCAGGAAATTTGGAAGACAGCCACTTGTCCAACTGATGAGAAAGGATCCAAATTTTACACACTACAAAGAAAGAGGGTCCAACAGAAAGCTCAAACTATAGAAATTATCACTGATATCACAGGCAAGAAAAATGTTGCTGGATATCATCAGTCAACAGTTGCAGCAGTATCTTAGCCGGGAACTACCCGAGGCCCAGGCCAGATTCAGAGGTCATGGAACAAGGGACATCCTTGTTGATGACACACGGACCTTGGCTGAAGGCAGAGAATACCAGAAGATGGTTACTTGTGTTTTATTGACTATACTGAGGCATCCAACTGTGGACACGATAAGAAAATATATATAGCCCTGAGAAGAATAGGTATTCTGGAACATTGCATTGTGCTAATGGGGAACTTACACATGGATCAGAGCCAGTTGTCCAAACAGAACAAAGGAAGATTGCATGGTTTCAATTCATAAAAGGTTTGTATCAGGGTTGCATCATCTTAGCATTTTTATTCAAAGTGTATGCCAAACAAATAGTCAGAGGTGATGGATTGCATGAAGAAGAATGTTGTGTCAGGACTGGATGAGGGCTTATTAATAACCTGTGATATACAGATATACAGATTTGCTAGCTGAAAGTGAGGAGGACTTGAAGCAGTTGCTGATGAAGATCAAGGAGTGCAGCCTTCAGTAGGGATTACAACTCAATATATAAAAGACCACAATCCTTACAACTGAACCAATAGGTAACATCATGATAAATGGAGAAATGATTAAAGCTGTCAAGGATTTTTTTCTTGCTCGAATGCACAATCGATGCTCATGGAAGCAGTAGTCAAGAAATCAAAAGACATGTTGTATTAGGACAATCATCTGCACAAGATGTCTTTAGAGTATTGCAATACAAGGATATTAATTTGAGAACTAAGATGTACCGGATCCCAAGTCATAATATTTTCAATTGCTTCATCTGTATATAAGTTAAATATTGAATGAATCAGATAGATAGAATCTATATGTTTGAATTGTGGTGCTGGAGAAGAATATTGAAAATACTATGCACTGCTACAGGGACAACTACCTTATATACTCGAGTATAAGCTGACCCAAATAGCAGCTGAGGCACTTAATTTTACCACAAAAACTGCATTAAAAATGTGCTGATAGACTCAGCTTATACATGATTATATATGGTAATCTGTCTTGGAAGAAGTATAAGTATAGCAGAAATGCTCCTTAGAAAATGGTGAGATTTCTGGGTCTTAAAGGCTTGAAGGTAAACAAGCAGCCATCAAGCTC